TATGATTGATGATGTCACATTTTATGCAAATGAGGCAATTTGCATAATTATTATATCTGATAATATAGGATACTATAATAGCTTCATTTTGGTACCACATACAGCTTTCAATTCTCAAAACTTCTGAAGTTATTGTACTTTGAGATAATTAACACCAACTCTTTCAAAAATTCAAGATGGCCGACAAGATGGCCGCCAATGGATACCATGGGACAATATTTCATTCTGGGAACATGCAAAAATCTTAAGTATGGACCTTTAGGATCACAAAAATGTACATTAAAAAAATACATCTTTCGGGTGCATGGGGACCATACCTTCCTACTAGACTAATCTCACAGTTGCCAACTCCCGATTTAAATCGGGAGATTCCTGTTTTTTTAACCCATCTCCTGCGCAATTTTGCCATCTCCCGATTTTCTAATTTTGTAATTTTTCATCATCTCCCGATTTTTTCTCCCGATTTCTACAAAAGACTTAGCATGTTTTAGGTAAAAATCCCCAGATTTTGTCTGTGTCCTCCCGTTTTTTCCTCCTACCTCCCGATTTTTAACTTGAATCCGAGTACTCATCGATCGTCTCCAGTATCTTACATATAAGTCAATTAACTCCAGCGACATCTAATCATGAAAAACAAAATTAATCTAATATAAATGTCCAATCAACAACAAGGAAATTAGCGCACGCGCAACAATTTTAATCAGTAAGAGCGAATCCATCCTTTATTACGATCCTAGCGCATGCGTATTACGTAGATAATCTCCTGAGTGGAGGCGATAAGAATCTGCGCAAGTATGTCCGTGAAACGGGGTAAGAATAATCTTGTCTATTTATGCACGATTGCGTAAGCCTACCAAGATTAAGCATGTATATACATTAAGAGAAATCATGTTAAATAAGTTTGAATGATTTTACCATTGAAGTTTGTCAAAGATTGAGATTTATCAGTCACATTTACGGTAAGCTTTTTGGTTTTTCCATCCTGGTCCAAGGAGGATTGGCTCCCAGGATGCAACATCGATACCGATACTCCCTACGTTTTAAACTGTTTTTAAAGAAAATCTCCTGTTTAGACTGAAAATCTCCTGTTTTCTCCTTTTTTTAGATGGTAACTTGTTTTCTAAAAGAAACCTCATGTTTTCTCCTGTTTTTTAAAAGAAGTCTCCTGTTTTCTCCTGTTTTTTAAAGAAAATCTCCTGTTTAGACTGAAAGTCTCGTTTTCTCCTGTTTTTAGATGGTAATTTGTTTTCTAAAAGAAACCTCCTGTTTTCTCCTGTTTTTTAAAAGAAGTCTCCTATTTACTTCGGTCCAAAGCCTTCTCTATATTCCGGCTTTGAGGAGGAAGATTGAGCTGCCTTAGTATTATAAATATTGTAAATCATTGTGTCACACGCACAGTAAATATGGTATAATAATATGAAATATACCTTTATGTATAGATTTGAAGAACATCAGCTCACATCCCCGTCTGAATCTATTGTTATATTTGATTTCTTTAAGCGAGAATAATTTCAAATGTTATTCACGTCCAGAACCGGAAGCCATTTTTAGCTACAGCGAGAAAATTTCACCATGTGTCAAACTCCGAAATGAAATTTTGAAATATCTAAATCCAGACAAGCAACGCTTCATCCTAAATATGATTAATATTCTTAAAAATATTTATAAAATTTATTAAAAATGAGTTCTAGATGCGTGTAGGTGCGTATAGCACAGTACATACGAAATCAATGAAGTTTCGTCTAGCTGTAAGCTAGAGACTCGAGTAATCTCCTATTTTCTCCTGTTTTTTAAAGAAAATCTCCTGTTTAGACTGAAAGTCTCATGTTTTCTCCTGTTTTTTAGATGGTAACTTGTTTTCTAAAAGAAACCTCCTGTTTTCTCCTGTTTTTTAAAAGAAGTCTCCTGTTTTCTCCTGTTTTTTAAAGAAAATCTCCTGTTTAGACTGAAAGTCTCTTGTTTTCTAAAAGAAACATCCTGTTTTCTCCTGTTTTTTAAAAGAAGTCTCCTGTTTTCTCCTGTTTTTTAAAGAAAATCTCCTGTTTAGACTGAAAGTCTCTTGTTTTCTCCTGTTTTTTAGATGGTAACTTGTTTTCTAAAAGAAACCTCCTGTTTTCTCCTGTTTTTTAAAAGAAGTCTCCTGTTTTCTTCTGTTTTTTCAGTAAAAGTCTCCTGTTTTTCTCCTGTTTTTTGCAAAATATCTCCTGGATTCTCCTGTTTTTTTTAAAAAAAACTCCTGTTTTTTTTCTCTGAGAGGTTGGCAGGTATTTTATTTTATTACACTGCATTGTATTTTATTGCACTGCATTGTATTGTACTGCAGTGTACTGTATTCTATTGCACAGCATTGTTTTGTATTGCACTGTATTGTATTGCATTGTATTGAATTGCACTGTATTGTATTTCATTGCACTGCATTACACTACATTGTATTGCACTGTATTGAACTGCGATGAATTGTATTGCACTGCATTGTTTTGTATTGCACTGTATTGTATTACATTGTATTGCATTGCACTGTATTGTATTTTATTGCACTGCATTGCACTACATTGTATTGCACTGTATTGAACTGCGATGTATTGTATTGCACTGTATTGTATTACACTGCACTGAACTGCGATGTATTGTATTACACTGTATTGTATTGCACTGCACTGTATTGAACTGCGATGTATTGTATTGCACTGCATTGTATTGCACTGTACCACATTGTATTGCACTGCATTGTATTGAAATGAACTACATTGTAACTGTATTGTATTTTATTGCACTGCATTGCACTACATTGTATTGCACTGTATTGGACTGCGATGTATTGTATTGCACTGCATTGTATTGCACTGTACCACATTGTGTTGCACTGTATTGTATTACACTGCATTGCTTTGTATTGCACAGCAATATATTGCACTGCACCATATTGTATTGCACTGTATTGCAATGTACCGCATTGTATTATATTGCACTGTATTGTGTTGCACAGTATTGTATTGCATTGTCTTGTATTTTATGGCATTGCATTGCACTACATTGTATTGCACTGTATTGAACTGGGATGTATTGTATAACACTGCATTGTATTGCACTGTACCACATTGTATTGCATTGCATTGTATTGAAATGAACTACATTGTATTGCACTGCACGGCATTGTTTTGCACTGTATTGCATTGCACTGCATTGTATTGTATTATATTGCACTTTATTGTATTGCATCGTATTGCACTGCATTTTATTGTATTATATTGCACTATATTGTATTGTATCATATTGCACTGCATTTTTTGCATCATATAACACTGCTTTGTATTGCATCATATTACACTACATTGTATTGCATCATATTGCACTACATTGTATTGCATAATATTGCTCTGCATTGTATTGCATCATATTGCACCGCATTGTATTACATCATATTGCACCACATTGTATTGCATCATATTGCACTGCATTGTATAACATCATATTGCACTGCATTGTATTGCATCATATTCCGTATTTACCATTTCGTTAAAGTTTTATTACATAAAATGTTATTTATAAGATTATGATTTTCAAACATTGAAAATGTTTTATACAATATCAATTAAAAGATATGAAATGGCCCAAAATAATATATTTTCAATGGAACCCTTTGCAAGGGTCACTTCAACATAACGCCACGTGTAATCTGTATGCATACGCCTTCTTTTAATGAACATTATCTTTGAAACCATATTAGAATCGAATCTGATAAAAGTGCGCATGTCCTGGATGTGCTGCGCGCTAGAATCGGGAAATCTCAAAGTTCTCCTCGTTAGAGCCATCAATATTATCCAAAATTGTCATTTCGCTGGTTCACTCCGCAGTCTTTCGAAAAAAATCAAATTCGTGGTGCCACGAATTTTTATTCGTTTTTTATTCACAGATAATCATTTTTTCATCGCGCACTGAATGCCGGAATTTCTGCGCACTTTAATTTAATTAACTTTGCACAACGCGGCCCCTGTAATTCATTCAGTGCGCGATGAAATCTATCTGACTGTGGCCGCGGTGTGTGATATCACTCCCATGTTAAAACTCCATTCGATTTTGAATTATGCGCATGTCCCCTATCGCTTTCCGTAGAAAGGTGAATACTTTCATACGTTCATGCAATTCAATTTTTTATATAACTGACAATATACTGATTTTTATGAAATGCCCAATATTCCATATTTATGAGCAATCATGTATAAGCTATCCCTCTGTGTGAATATCAAATTTCAATAAAGATTCCTCACCTTGTAATCAAGTTCATCTCTCTTTAATAATTCTTAATTTGATACTCACCTCATAAATGTTGCTTGGTGCTTCTTATGTTGCTTATCAAGACAATTTAAAGTTGAGCTTTAAAGTTGAGCTACATGTACTTTATAAAAGAGAGGATACTTGAAATATTCTGCATTATCCTAGCTATGCCAAGTAGAGTTTTAGGGAGATAAGTTGGTAAGATATATCCCGTATCCTGATTTTGAGGTTTCCATATCCAGAACCTCCATATCTCCCGCCATATCTCCCGCTTCGGTGCATATCTTCCCGCTTCCGGTGCATATCTTCCCGCTTACGGTAATGCAATAAAATGACTTTATTTTTATTTTTACACCTCGTACTATCGAAATGGCCATATGCCCCTGAAAACTCTACTTGGTATAGGATAATGCAGTTATGTACGGTCGGTTTGGATATGGGGTTCATCCCTCGTGAGATATGCACATCTACCTTCGGTCCCTACGGTCCCTCAGGTAGATATGCATATCTCCCTCTGGATAAACCCCATATCCAAAACCTCCCAGTATATAACCCTTATATGTCCCCCACAAATATTTTTGAGTGCTTTTTAAAAAAAGCATAAATATGTATTTTGATTAATACTGTACAAAATATCTCCCATGTTTATATTTCTTGATGCTGTGTACAAGTTTTGATATATTATCATTAAGATATTATTTTAAAGTTAATGTATTTTTGTATACCTGATATTTATGAAAATTTATTGATCGGCTGTCTGTGTGTCCCTTTATCTTTTTTTGTCTTTGGATTGTAAACTCATATGATATATATATCGGGTGTCCCAAAAAAGAGACACTTTTTGACAAGTATTTTCTTGGCAACTGATGAACCAAATTTTTTTTAAATTTGCACAAAGTAGTCCTGGAGTATCGTTAGCAAGCTAAAGAAATATGAAAAAGATCAGATGAATGTCATGCAAGAGCAACTCTAATTTTATAGCTTTAAAGGGACTCAATGAAATTAGCTACATTGTCCAAAGTGTTTACATTTGCGGATTAGGAGGGTTTATTCATTTTGAAGGGGTGTATATATTTCGTGCAATACAAAATAATTCTCAGTTTTCATAAATGCTTTCAATTTGACTGTCTCGTTGCTTCCATAATCTTAATTGATCAGTTTGTCTGTTGGCAGAGTTGTCGCCTCAAGTGCAGCAGGTCGCGGGTTCGATTCCTGAAGGAATATATCTGTTTTTTAATTTTTTGGTTGGAGACGCGTTTGTTATTTTGGTTGATGTTTAGTTTTGATATTTTGAAGCCCTCCTCCAGTCTGTCTATCCTTCCATTATCACTCAATTATATGTAGGTCACACTTGTTCATATATCGAGGAATGGTATGCCTTGTATACAAAGAATTTTATTTTCAAAATAGCTGTGTACCTTGTGTGCAAAGTATTTTAGTTTAAAAAGTAATCCTCAATGCTTGAGGCATGGTGTTTTACAAACAAGATCCTTTAACGTGGTTCATCACATGAACAAGTGAATTATTTCAGGTCTTATTAAAGTTTAAGTTGAGATAAGTTTAGAACATATAAAAAAGCATATACACGATGATGGTAAACTTAAAAATTAGTTGTACACGTAAACCCTAAGATACTCATGTATGTCGACCAATAATCCGTGACCCCTATTTAGAATTAATAGAATAGACTAGATGCTAGTAGAAATAATCTTGATTTACGTCATTAAATATTCAAAATTCAGTCAAAGTGATATCATATTTGAAATCTACATGTAAAAGTACATCTAAAGATATGGTTTCGAAAGTTGTTTATCAACTTTGAAAATTTAATTTTTTTTGAAAATGTGACTTGTGCTCAGCTATGCTGCCATCTTTATGCAAGAATTGAAACCTGGCATGACTAAGAAAAGCCCAACAGTATCCAATCAAACACTTTGACTACCAATTTGATACACTAATCAAACCAATCTGTGTTGCGATTCCTGGAGCGAGCCATTTGGTTGCATAACTCTCTCTCTCCAGTATTTGTACAGGGTGTTTCATAATGTTCATCTCCAAAGTTGATTTGAGATAAGATAAGTCTATCATGTATATATCATATAGGAATTCCTATTTCATTTTAGATCAAGACATCTCACACATGTGATAATAAATACATTTTAAAAGTTACATATGGTTTGCACTTGAACGTTATATTACATCCGACATCCAGAGATTTTCAACTAGTACCCCTCGTTATGTAACACCATGTATTTTTATGTACAAGTACAAGTTTACATTAAAGTTTACCAAATAGCTTATATCGAAAGCTCTCTTTTGATAAGACAACTCTTGTTTTGTTCATTTGGGTTTCCTGATACTCTTGTGTTTCTAGCTTAAGATGGTGCTTTAACTGAGTGTCATGGTGTCATGTTATGATTTTTTCAGATCCAAAGAGGTTGTTCAACTTGTAAGCCCACTTCACTGTTATTGGGATCTCTTTTATGTCTGGGTCATACTGAGCTAGACTCATTATTGAAAATACTCAAATAAATCATCATTTAAGTACATACAGTAAAACTTTCGTGCATGAGAATATTTCACTTAGAGATGTTAATTTTGCATGAAGAATAAAGTTATTGAAATATGTCCTAGGCTACTTTAATATGGAGGTGTTCCACTTTACAGGTTTTATACCTAAGTTACCTTCTTAAGGTTATAATGAAAACACGCGCTACGCGCTAACGCGCCACGCGCCAATGCGGTAATAGAAAATGATCCTTCCCCCTAGATGCGTGCGCATGTTTTAAGCGCATGTTTATGATTGGTCTATACCCTTGGCCCAGGGACATGTATAATTAGGGTTATGACTCCCTGGGAACTTGTCAAAACATTGACACTTCAAAGACTGTATAAATCACCGCTAACCTGTCAGTCAGACTTTGATGTGAACTTTGCGGCCGCAGGAAATAAACAAAGCTCTCAAAAATTACGCTTTTCAAGTTACGATTTCTCTAAGAATATAAGACCGATTAAGATGTTCTTCACACCGTTAAAAAACAGAATTCAACTTCAATTTAGGAAATAATTCCAAAACTAAATGAACGTGTACTTTTCTCTGTATTTGACCTGAAAGAACATGAGTAACTTAGAATTAATAAATATTTACGGCCAATTACCGGACAATGATAAAACATGCTGGTCAGGTTTACATTACTTTTAAAATCGTCTCTTATTTAAAACTTTAATTCCAAATGAAATACAATTCTGTTTTCGACGATACTCCTGGTAAAATAGGTAATACAATTCACTGGGACTGACGTAATTCAAAACTTTTTAAATCTAAAATCAAATTGAGAAAAACGAAAGCAAACATGAAAGGGGGGGTTATAGGGGTCTTGGAAATCCATATACACTATTTTTCACTAGCCCCTTAGTCTTATACCATTTACAGCATTTTTCACCCCTTTTACAGTATAACATACAGTGTATGCAATATTTTTCACATCTCCATATAGTAATTTTGAAATTACCGTTGAGAAAAGTTTGGATAATATTCAGAAGGAAATAACATAATGCAAGAATCCACGTAGTACCAAATGTATAATCATACGGCAAATAGGCAGTACACAGCCCCGAAGCCAGGGGGGTTCGGAGCAACAGTGTCAAGATATAGGGACAGAAAATATTGACATTTTAAAAGTACCGTTTTTTCGTTTTGTTATTATGGAAAGTCAAACATGACTATAGATGATGTTTTATGTAGGCATTTATGTATGATACTTAACCATACTCTACGAAGAATGGATGATTTTTGTAGGCATTTATGTAGGCATTCTTAAAACACGTTACTTTGCCTTAAAAACGTTACTTTATTGGACTTTAACTTTTCTCCTCGAAGAATGGATGATTTTATATTAAGCATTTTCAAAACACAGTACTTTGCCAATAAAACGTTACTTTATCGTTACTTTATTGTCCCTATATCGTGACATATATAGTTCGGAGGGTGACTTTGGAATTTTTGAAAAAGTGACCCCCCTGGGAAATCCTGGTTACTGTCCTGGCATATGACATATAGAGACTACTATATAGAGATCTGGATTACCCCCATAAATGGGTCACAACCAGGCCCGTAGCCAGAGGGGGAGCTGGGGGAGCAGAGCTCCCCCTCTGGCCAGAGATTCTTTCAAAATCATGCAGTTTTTCACCATTCTGAGAATTTTTTTCATGATTATTAGCCAAAATTGTGAAAAAGCTTCCCCTGGAAAAAGGCTCCCCCTCCTGGTAAAAGCTGGCTACGGGCAAGCCCCCACAACTACTTGTGTATTGAAATCCCAAATTATGGGGATAAGCTGGATCTGCAGTATTCGTTCAAACTGTACTTTAAATTTCATAATAGGCTTCTTTAATTCTTTTAAAACATATGTTTATTTAACTTATATGATGCCAGGGCCGTCAGATGGGGGGGGGGGGGTGCGATGGGTGCGACCGCACCCCCCTTTATCACCCCCCAAAATAAATTTGAAATGTTTTTTGTCAAAAATATTTTTTTTGTAATTTTTTTCATTGACTCATACACTTTGAACCCAGAAACCACCAAATAGCATCTTAAAATTGTAAAATTTTCTAGGGGTATTAGCCACCCCTCACACCCCCCACAAAACAATGGAAAAGTTCTAAATTTATTTTAGTGTTTTGTCTCAGACACTTTTAAAGTGCCCAGACATCATCAAATAGCTCCTTGATATAGTTAGTGTTTCTGGGGGACTTGCTCCCCCTCTTGCATCTTGCACTTGCAAAGACCCCCCTCTGGCGCCCCCCCCAAAAAAAAATTGTGATTTTCTCAAATTCTTTAATTGACTCATACACTTTGAAAGTGCCCAGAAAGCACCAAATAGCGTTGTAAAATTGTAAAATTTTCTAGGGGGAGTGGGCTACCCCTCACACCCCAAACGAAACAATGGAAAAGTTCTGAATTTGTTTTATGTATTGTCTCAGACACTTTTAAATTGCCCAGACATCATCAAATAGCTCCTTGATAAAGTTAATGATTCTGGAAGACTAACACTTACTCGCCCTCTGGCATCCCCACTCCACCTCCCCCTCTGGCAGCCCCCTCCCCTAAACACCCCCCCCCAAAAAAAAAAATCAAATTTTTTATTGACTTTATTGACTAAAGTGCCCAGAAAGCACCAATTAGCATCTTAAAATTGTAAAATTTTCTTGGGAAATAGACACTTTTAAAGTGCCCAACTTCATCGAATAGCACCTTGATATTGTAAATTTTGATATGGGGGACAAACACCTGCTCCCCCTCTGGCACCCCAGCCCCACCTCCCCCTCTGCCCCCCCCCTTTGACACCCCCAAAATTTGAAAAAAATTGAGATTGTTTTTCAATGTTTTTATTGACTAATACACTTTAAAAGTGCCCAGAAGCACCAAATATCATCTTTAGATTGTAAAATTTTCTAGGAGAGTTAGCCACCCCTCACATCCCCCACAAAACAAAAGAAAATATTCTGAATTTCATGTATTGTCTCAGACATTTTTTAAGTGCCCAGACATCATCAAATAGCAACTTGATATGGTCAATGTTTCTGGGGGACAACCCCTTGCTCCCCTACTGGCACCACACCCCACTTCACCCTCTCATCCACTTTGACACCCCCAAAAGAATTTGAAAAAATACACATTTTTCTTATGGACTCATAATGCACAGGCGTACCAGATGGTTGCAAATTCGCTCCAAATACAACCAAATTTCAAAATTTTCCTGGGGGACAACCCCCACACCCCCCTGAATGCTCGGTTTTTTATTCACTCAACTCTTATTCCCATGGTGGTGGCGT